TGGCATTTATAAGAATTTTTTGCTTTTATTTTCTAAAAAATTTATAATGAACACATGTTATATTGATGTGTTTAGAAGGTATACATATATATTTTTTTAAACATTAAAAAAGAATCTCCTTGTTTAATTTGCCTTTTTAAAATACCAGTGAAATGAAATGCTTTTCTACCTTTGTTTTGGCTATTTATGATACCAGTAACTTCTTTCTCCTGTGGGGTTTTTTTTTCTTCTGTTTTTTTTTGTTTTTGTAAATTATGTTAATATGTACTTAACTGTGTGTTGGAAAGATTGAGAGATTGAGTTAATATAGATGAAGCATTTAGAATTTTTTTTCATGTAAAGTGTATTTTATTTTAGATTTGCTAATTTTTATATATATATATGGGTACTTTATCTGCTTGTACATCTGGATATCAAAAGATGGCACCAGACAGTTGTGAGCTACCATGTGAGTGCTGGGAATTGAACTCAGGACTTTTGGAATAGCAGTGAGTGCTCTTAACCACTGAGCCATCTCTTCAGCCCTAGAAATATTTTTATTTTATGTGCATTGGTATTTTGCCTGCATGTGTATCAGTGTGAGGGTACCAGATTCCCTGGAACTGGAGTTACAGAATTGCTGGGAATTGAACCCAGTTCCTCAGCCAGTATTCTTAACTGCTGAATCATCTTTCCAGTTCCTAGAATAATTCATGATGTAAATATTTAGTATATTTTTCAGTGATATGCTTGCCAGTATTTTAAATTTAGTGATACATTTTTTTACTCCATTTGAAAGTTATTATTTAACTTATAGTTTACTTGAAATACTTTCTCTTCATGCATCTAATGCAAATAATTGACCTTACTTTAAAACAAAAACTAGCAAACAATATCTCTTTATGATGCTCACACTGGCCTCAAATTCCAGGGTTCATGAAATCTTCCTGCCTTTGCCTCCTAAGTAGCTGGAACTACTGGTGTGTTGTATTGCACTACCCTTGCTGTTTTTGTTCATTTGTTTAACTATTTTGTGATGCTGGAGATTAAACCTCAGGCCTTCTACATACTAAATACATACTTAAGTTTTTCTTTTTTTCTTTTCTTTTTTGTTTTTTTGAGACAGGGTTTCTCTGTGGCTTTGGAGCCTGTCCTCGAACTAGCTCTATAGACCAGGCTGGTCTCGAACTCACAGAGATCCGCCTGCCTCTGCCTCCCGAGTGCTGGGATTAAAGGCATGTGCCACCATCGCCCGGCCACTTAAGTTTTCCTTAAGTTTGTTTTTATTTGTAGATCCATTTTTCAGTTTTATGTAATGATCTCTCTTGCTGTCATCTTTCTGATTTCTGCTTCTCCTAAAATTTCTTCCATATCTAATCCCTTAAATTTCAAAAATTTAAAATTTAAAACAAATATGTACTTAAAGAGAAACTATATCATGTAATGTATATTTATTTCTATTAGGAGCTATATAAAATGTGTGAATTGTTTCTTTTTAGATGCAGTATTAGTAAATTAAAATATAGATAGACATTTTGGAATGTGAGGTTATATGTATAGCTAGATCGTTTCCCTTTTCTCTACTTTTTCTTATACCTTTGAATTAGAGTTTCATCATATTATGATAGGCGAATATATACCTGAGTGAGAGGTAGGAAAGAGCTTTCATACAACTTCGTTGATTTTCTAGTAGGACTATTTTTAGATTGTTCTAAAATTCTGTTCTTTGTCCATAAAAAGAAATTAACACTTTAATTTTTTTTTAAATTTATAAAGGATTTCCTCAGCATACCATTGCTTCTTTGTCTGATCAGGATGCAAAACCATCCTTTAGCATGGCGTAAGTAGAGAGCAATTGTCAGTGATATTTTAGCATTCAAAATTTATTCCTATAAGTGTTAGCTTAGATAGAAGGTCTTAAAATACGATGATTTTTATAAACTAATAACATGTACTTGGCCATAAAAAGCAATGATCCTTTTGTATATGTCTATGCTATGATAGTCAGGATATATTACTAAATAAAATGGCAAGGCTGGGTGGTGGTGGTGCATGCCTTTAATCCTAGCACTCGGGAGGCAGAGACAGGTGGATCTCTGTGAGTTCAAGACCAGCCTGGTCTACAGAGTGAGTTCCAGGACAGGCTCCAAAGCTACAGAGAAACCCTGTCTCACAAAACAAACAAACAAAAAAACAAACAGACAACAAAGACAAGGTAGAAATGTATACTACATTACCAGTCATCTAAATTAAAGGTGGGGAGGGAGACTGGCTCACACCTGTAATTCCAGGACTCAGGGAGACTGAGGCAAGGTGATAGTGTTTAGTTTGAGGTCACTCTGGTCTGTAGAATGAGATCCTGTGTCAAAAAGCCATAAAGAATAAATAAAATAAAAATGCAGATATGAATAAATGTATTTACTTGTTTATTCTAAGGATAAAAATCAATAGTGGGAATGGAAAGTAAAAAACCATTAACCTTGGTGGGTGCTTGGGTAACTTAGTGAGGCTCTTCTCAGAATAAAAAGGGAAAGGAAGGTTGGCTAGAGCTAAGTGATGAAGTGCGTAACTATTCTGCATAAGGCTGCACAAAGGACATTTGATAGAGCCCATAGTAATGGGGTCACATTAGGTTAGTGGCTGATCTAGACCGGACAAGTGATACTAAAAACAAATTTTGAGTAGATAAGTAAGTATCTCAGTTACTTTATTCTAAAACAAAGCTCTGAATGTTAATGGAGAAAAAAGTTAGCACCCAGAACAGCACAATTTATAGTATCTGAGAGCATGCAGAAATGACCAGGCAGCCCGCTGTGCTGATGAATTGTCATATGCCAGCCAGCACTCGGGGATGAGATAGGAGGATCATGGCAAGTTTAAGGCTAGCTTGGGTTGTAAAGAAAACTGGGAAGAGAGGGAAGGAATAAAGGAGAGGGTGGGAAGGAGGCAGGGAAATTGGTGGTGGTGGTAGGGATTTCCCTAGAGAGAGAATATGAGATAATGAGAAAAGATACAGATAAAGAAAAAATAAAGAATGGAGAACACTTACTAGAATTAGGAGATGACTATTAAAATAGCCAATGTAAAATACACTTTATAATTCTCTAAGTGAAAGAGAACTAGACAATGTATTAAAAAAATTCTAGAAATGAAATCAGACTTCTAGAAATGAGGAATATAATGTCTGTGATGAAAAGTGCATTGGAGGGCCTGAAGAGATGGCTCAGTGGTTAAGATCACATAACTTTCCCCCACAGGACCAAAGTTTGGTTCCTAGTACATACATTAGGCAGCCCACAGCTGCCGGTAGCTCCAGGTCTGGGGGATCTAACACCTCTGGTCTCTGAAGGCACCTGTACTCATGTGCACATATCCACTCATGAAATTAAAAATAAAATAAATCTTAAGAAAAGCACAGTGGTTGGAATGAACAGAGTAGTCAGTGCAGGAGAAAGGAAAAAAAATAATGAATTCAGAGGCAACAAGAGAAACTTCAAAATAAAGACAGAAAAAAGTCGAGTATTAGTGAGCAATGGAACATACATGTTTTCAAGTAAAATTTTACTCATTTATCTATGTAAATACATATTTTTTAAGACCTGATCTCATTATGTAGTCCTGGCTGGCCTAGAACTCACTATTAGACCAGGCTGGCCTTGAACTCACAGATCTCTGCCTGCCTTTTCTTCTGAGTGCTGGGATTGAGTTACATACTTTCTTTAGCTTTTTTCACCTTTTAAAAATAACTGTTTTCTCCCACAGGCATTTGGATAATAGCACTGAGCCAGGACTTACATTGGGAGGCTATTTCTGCCCACAGTGTCGGGCAAAGTACTGTGAGCTTCCTGTTGAATGTAAAATATGTGGTAAGAACTCCATTATTTTTCACTCAATAAATTAGTATTGAATAACTTCCTATCTATATAGCTGCTGAAATAAACATAGAGTCCTGCTTATTATGAATTTAATTTGTACATATAAAGTAGAAGTAATCCACTTCTAAGAATAAACATATCATTATAGATGTTTCCTTATTCTCCTTCTGATAAGTATATTTTTTAAAAGCACCTTAATGGACAATTTTGGGCTCTTAATATAATCTTATATAAATAGAATGAGGAATTAATATAATTCTAAGACCTTTCATTTTTAAGTAAGCAAATTGTTTTCTAAGAGGGGGTTGCATTTAGTGACAGAACAAATTCTGTCCTGGAATCTTTTTTTATGGCTGCAGGAAAAAACACTCAAGGTCCTAAAAATACTGAGTGCTGGGTGTGTAGCATAGTGTCAGGTTCTTAGTGTGTGTGAGACCCTAGATTTGATTCCCCACAAGAAAAATAAAAGTACTTTTTCTAAGTGTGTCATTTGACTTTTTAGCTACCATCTTAATGAGGTTGTGCTTACTTCTGTCTTTATGCATCAGGTCTTACTTTGGTGTCTGCTCCTCACTTGGCACGATCTTACCATCATTTATTTCCTTTGGATGCTTTTCAAGAAATTTCCCTAGAAGAACATAATGGAGAAAGGTATATGAGTTTTGATTAATTTTATGTTACAGTTGTAAACTAATATTTGAAACAGTTACCACATAAAATTATATTAATTTGTGCAAAATTACATCTAATATAGAAAATGACATGTAGAATACTCTATTTCTAGAGATCTCTTTATTTCCCTAAGCTCCCATATTGTAGTTGAGAGTGATGTGTACTGTTTTGGTGGGGAGTGGGGGTTGGGGTGGGGCCTAAAAATGGCTCAGTGTCTAGGAGCATGAACTGCTCATGGAGAGGACCCTGATGGGTTCCCAGCACCTTGGAGCTGCCTGTACTTCCAGCTCTAAGAGATTCTACGCGTTCTCTCCAAATGGGCGTCTCCACTCACCTGCATATACCCATACATATGCATAATTAAAATTAATCTTTTCTCTTTTTTATTTTTTTTTTTTGTTTTTTTGAGACAGGGTTTCTCTGTGGCTTTAGAGTCTGTCCTAGAACTCACTCTGTAGACCAGGCTGGCTCCAAACTCACAGAGAGCCGCCTGCCTCTGCCTCCTGAGTCCTGGGATTAAAGGCGTGAGCCACCATTACCAGCTAATATGGCTGTTTTGTAATAAATTCTGAGAGCCTGTGGGCAGGGTTGATGCTATGCATTGATTTCAGGGCCTTGTGCCTGCTGAGGTTGTATTCTACCACTGAGGTATATGAGGTATATACCAGCCCCAATTCCAAGAACTCTTACCTCTTTTTGTTTTTTTAATGTTTAAATACTGTGTGTTTTCAAATTTTAAACAACAGATACATTAAATTAAAATTAATTAAAGTCAGCTAAACATAAGCCTCAGTCATTCAAGACTGTCTTGGATCTTTTTCTTTTTGCAAATGTGTGCGGTCATATTTTGTAAATATTTGCCTTTTTTTTTTTTTTTTTTTTTTTT